GTGGGAGGTGCCCATGGCAGGGGTGGAATTAGATGGATGAGCTTTAAAGTCTCTTCCAACCCAAACCGTTCTGTGATTCTTTGACTTCACAGAATCATTAGGGTTGGAAAAGAACCTCCAAAATCATCAAGTCCAACCATTCCCCAGCACTAAGCCCCCACTAACCTTAGTTAATCCCCAAGTTTGTTAAATCCCTCCAGGGATGGTGACTCCAGCCCTGCCCTGGGCAGCTGTGCCAGTGCCTGACCACCCTTTCCATCAAGGAATTTCCTTAATGAGCCTCCTTTTCTCCAGGTTGAGCCCCCACAGCTCCTCCAGCCCCTTCCCCAGCTCCGTGCCCTTCCCTGGACACTCTCCACTCTCAGTGTCTGTCCTGGCAATGTGCAGCCTCTCTGGATCCCTGCACAGCCTTTCTGCCCTCAAGCAGGTCAACATTCCCACCCATCTTCATGCCATCTCCAAACCTCTGAGGGTGCACATGATCCCCTTGGCCAGGTCATTGAGAAAGATACTGAATAGGTTTCTATTTTTGCAGGATGCTGTTGTTGTAACCCTCTTCTTCACAGGGCTGCCTGGCTCTGTTGTGACATGCACATTTCTGCCTGCAGAACCGTAAAATTCATACCAGTTTTTTCTGTCATTTTGCAGTGGGTCCAAAGCTTCTCCAGTATGTCATCAAGGTCCTTGTGCAGTCAGTGCAGTTGCTGTACACGTTGCTGAGGATAGACCAGCCATCCTATATTCTTCTGCAGGTGAGTTTTGTGGGGGACTAGTTTTAGTCCAAGCACATAGTGCTGCACTGCAGAGCATTTTAAACAGCCTCAGACATTGCTCTGGTTATCTGAGAGCTAAAACTGGCCTAATCAATGGTGTAAACCTCTGTCGTAGTAGTTTTGCTTCTAAACTTTGTTTTTTTCTGTTGGCAACTCATGTTTGTTCATTGTTCAGCTTTCAAACTTCATTGGCATGGGTAGTAGTAAAGAGTAACTCCTACTAGAAATGTTTGTGTGCTGGAGGGGGATTTGCACCTTGATTTAAGGATGGATGTGAAGTGCCTGCCAGGTGAGTGTTCATTAATCTCCTTTCAGGCAATGCAATCTCAATAATTTGATTTTTTTCCTAGTCCTTGGCCACTCTTGTGCTCTTTTTGGTTTCTTTCTGACCAGAATCCCCCAGGCTTGCCCAGCATAGCTATTGCCTGGGTGGCAGGTCTGTTCTGGAGGAGCAAACTGATCGTTGACTGGCACAACTATGGCTACACCATCCTGAGCCTGAGCCATGGGAGAAACCACCCCCTGGTACAGATTGCAAAATGGTTTGTGCAGTCATTTCTCCTCTACAGATGACATACCTTGGTAGAACTCGGCGTGGAAACCGGGAAGGGAGAACAGAGTTGGGAAAGGGCTGTTTGTGTGAGGATTTCTGGGGTTTGCTGTGTCTGTTTCAGAGAATCTGTCCTTGCTGCCCTGCTGAGTAGGTGGGAAGGTGCTTTGATGGGGTAGCAGGTTGCAAACATTGATCTTGTTATTAGAATTTCTTTCTATATATGGGTTTTTTTGCTCTCTCATACTGCTTTACCCTCCAACTCTTCTTTCAGCCACTGCTTTTTGCTGAGTTGAGTTGGTTATGCATAGTTAAAGGCTTTAAAGGTTTTGGAGTGGAGGTGTGGTCATGCTGTAGCTTCTCTCATAAACTGCTGTTGCTTCAGCATGAGGAGCCCATTGATAAGTGGCGATTAAATTTCAGTTGGGTTTCTTCTGTTTGCCTTTCACTTCTCCTAGGCTCTGGGGGCAGTTAGTGTGTCTGCCTCTCTCTGTGGGTCCTGACTCATATTTCACCTCTGCCAGGTATGAAAAGCTCTTTGGCCACTTGGCTGACTATAACCTGTGTGTCACTGAGGCCATGAAGGAAGATCTGTGGGTGAATTGCAACATAAAGTAAGTCACACCCCTCGAAGGAATCAGCCTGTGTGTGTGCAGAGGGGAGTGAAAGGCCAGAGGGATCCTACAGAGCAGCTCTCTGAGCCCACCAGCCCTGGGGCAGGAGCCCCAGTCTGCGCTGAGCCCGTGCAGTGTGGGCTCTCAGCAGGCTGCAGGCCCCGTGCTGGGGCTGACTGGGAGCTGGTGGTGTGGGTGGCTGTGGGATGGGAGCGAGGCAGGCAGCACTGGGCTCTGGTAGCTGGTCTGCCCCCACAGCTTTCCCTGGCAGTCCGAGCTCTCGGGCTGGAGCTGCTCAGGAGCACTCACAGCCTGAGCTCAGCAGCCAGGACAGCAATGTCTGGTGCATTTCACTCCTAGAATATGCACCAGGAAGGGTTTTATTATTAGAGGATTGTTGTGGCCACCCTGGTGTGTTCCAGCAAACCGCAGGAGTACATGAGGCTGAAAGAGTTAATGATTTTCTGATGATGCTGTTGCACCCTGGGCATGTTGTTGCATCTGTATCTCACCCAGCTGTATTTCACCCCAGGGCAGTGACTTTGTATGACAGACCAGCTGCTTACTTTAAGGAGACACCCCTGGAGCTCCAGCATCACTTGTACATGAAGCTTGCCAAGGACTATGAGCCCTTCAGAGCACGGTACGTGTGAGCCTGGCAGCTGCAGTCCCTGGACAGTGGCACGAGGCTGTGGCATTTGTCCCCAGAAACACTTGTGTGGGGCCCTGAGCTGTGCCCCCAGACAGGCAGTGGGCTCCATACCACTAGGAGAGGCGGGAAGAAGTGAAGTCATTGGACTGTGGTAACACGAGGCTTGTGTGAGGTAGTAAGGTGTTCTGGTCTCAGAGGAGCTGGCACGAGCACTGGAGTGATGTGTGACAGAGGCCTCTGGGGTGGGACGTGGCAGTGGAGTGGTGCCCGGTGGCCTAGATGGCACCGCTGGGATGCTCCACTGGTCTCCCTATCTCCCTGCAGAGACCCTTCAGGGTCTCGCTCTGAGTGTTAGCCGTTTCCCTCGGGCTGTGCTGGGTTAACAGGGCATTGCTCTGCCAAGCTGATGTCTGGGAGAGAGGCTCGGTCGTAGTGTGGGTGGGACTGCCCGGCTGGGCCTGCGCGGGGTCTGCGTCCAGTGGGGGCTCTGCTGCTGGGCTCCGTGCTGGGAGGGAGGGGGAGGAGGAGCAGGAAGGGCCTCTCCAGGTCCAGGATTCCCCGTGGCTCTGTCCCTGAGGTGCTGTGTGTCCGCAGGGCCCAGCCTGGCGCAGACAGCTCTGCCTTCACCCGGCGGGACGCGGGACGCGTGACGCACACCGCGGCGCGCCCGGCGCTCCTAGTCAGCAGCACCAGC